GGACGCCGCTCCGGTCCGCGCCAGCCGCCGGGCGGCCCCCGACCCCGCTCCCCAACACGAAGCACGCCTTTGCCCGCGCCTTCCCACCGAAATGGCGCAAAGCCCTCGACGGAGGGCACCGCAGGGGGGGCAGGGAAGACCGCCCGCCCGACGCGACGCCCCCATCCCCCGCCGGGCCTGACAGGTCCGCCGCGCTCACCCTCGATCCCGGCCGCGGTCCCGGTCGCTCGAGTAACTCGACATGGCGTCAATGGTTGCGGTTGGCGGGGAGCGAAGTGAAGAGAATAGGACGCGACGAGTCGCTGGAAGGGTCCTCGGCGGTAGCGAAGCCTCCCGGGGACGGCAGCGGAAGAGGGACTGCGATGACACGAGCCGGAGCTGCGCGACCAGAGACCGGCAGAAATGAATGAGGTGCCGACTCGGTGCCGGCAGCCGGTTTTATAGTCCGGGCCGCCTCCTCCGCCGCTAAGGATGCTGGGAGCCGCTCTACGCCCTCATCGCCCCGCCCCCTGCGCAGGGGCCGCAACGCCCGACGGCGTTCCGGGATCCGCCATCTTGCCGCCCCTCCCCCGCGCGCGTTCCCTCAGGCGCCCGTTTCCCTGTCCCTTCCCGGCTGGGCTCATCTACCACCGCGATGCCTCATACTACTCTCTTGACTTCACCTTTTCCTAGTCCTCCCACATCTCAAGTAAGCCACTTTGCCCTTTTCCGGGTCCACTCAGACGCTTAAATGGCCAGTACAAGCCAACCCACTCTCCCCACTTTGGACATGTTTACGTCTACAGAGCCCTCACGCCCATAACCAAATAAGACGGGTAGGCGGAGCCTGACATCGTCACGTGACTGTCCCAGTCGGGCGAGAGGACCGCACTATTTCCTCATTTGGCGTCGGCGGAGGAATACATAAGGATACAGCTCACCGGAAGTGGTGGTTCTAATGCCCCTGTGAGACCGTCAGGGCTACGGGGTTACCTGCACTGCCCAACCCGTCGACCGGAGAAACCTCTGGAGAGAGCTTGCCCTCGAGGAACGCTGTCTGTGGCTCGCAAACTGCCACCTAGGCGCGTGCTGCGAAAGGAAGTGCTTCTCTGATGACCAATCAGCGGCGAGAAGCCGTTTTAACGACCTTCCCCCGCTTTAATCCTTCCCCCACTGGGTTGCGCCTTGTCCCGCCTGCGCAGGGTGTGCGCGGAACGGCCCTTGCGGGACACCGTCGCTCGCGCGCCGGCTGCGGGGTCTGGCGGCAGCTGGTCTCCGCGACATGGCCGGCTCGGAGGCTGGTGAGTCTCGGCTCGGAGTTCTGGCGTGTGAGAACTGCAACACCCCAGCCTTCCGAATGCCTCAGGCCCGCGCTGTTCGGGTGTGAGCTGCTGCCGAGGCTCATGACTGTCAGAGACGCGCGTTTCGTGTGTCGGAGCTCAGCCGCCTGCTTTTTTAGGGAGGCTGTGGCGCCGCGGCGGGGCTTGGGGCGCCCGCACCCCGGCCGCTGCCCGTCTCGGGCGTCCCGCGGCCGTCGGTGTGCTCGCCGCCCTTGCGTTGTGGGGACCGCGGCCGCGCCTGCCCGTGTGCCGGTCTTTTGAGACAGTGCGTGAGATCACGTTGGTGCCCCCGTCCGGGGGAAGTAGCGGTGCTGCTTTTGTCCCCGTTGCCCACGGGAGGTTCCGGCTTCGTCCCCAGCGGCCTTTGGAAAGCGAGTTGCCCTGGTTGTCGGGGACGCTTCGCCCGCCTTCCCGGGTGTCGTGGCTCGGGCCGCCGTGCGCGGCGGGTGCGAGGAGAAGGGGCGGCGCGCGTGCGGGCAGCACCGCCGCATCTCTCCCGCAGCACAGTGGAGCTGGTGCTGCGCTAACGCGCCTTCGCTTTTATAACTCGGCATTTCCGGGGAGAAGTGTTTCTAACTTAGTTGTAGTCAAGGAGCCCGTGACCTGGCGAGTCCAGCACTATGTGGGGAAGGGCAGAACGTGATGCCGTCGCGGAATTTCGGCGGTGTCGGGCATCTGGTTCTGCGCTTAGGGTTGTCTTTATTTTTGCTTTCATACACATCAAATGTAATTTTTTTAAAAAGAGAAACTAGCAAATGCATTAACTAGTACTGGTGTGATCATTCCAGATCTTAACAACCTAAATTAATCCCTTCTTTGGTCGCTAGAGAGATCCTGACGCGCACAACATGATTGGGTAAAAGCACGACTAATACTATTGGGAGTTTGAAGCCATCTCCTTTAGTTTCTAATAACCTGATTGTTTACAAACTGTGTAGGTTATGATATGATATTCCTATTTACTTTCAATTTTTTTTTTTTTTTCTTTTTGAGACAGGGTCTCACCATGTAGTTCAGGCTGGCCTTGAGCCCATTTTGTAGCCCAGGCTGGTCTCGAACTTGCAACGATCCTCCTGCTTCAGCCTCCCGAGTGCTGGGATTACAAGTGTTGGTCACCAACCCCAGCAAAAATAAAATTCTATAACAAACAAATTCCTTAACCTTGCCTCAAGTTCAATGTCTATTTTTGTAGGAGGTTGTTGGTTTTTAAAATGTGTACATGACTTTTTCTGCTGCTACTGAAGACTGATTTTTTTTTTTCCCCCAACAGAGTGGGTAACCATTGCCAATAACCTTCTTTGTAAATGCCACATACATCTGAGGATACGTGAACTTGAAGACTGTGATGCTCATGTCTTTATTGCTCTTTATCAATCCATTTTGGGAGAAAAAGTACCAGGTAAGGGTGCTGAAAAGTGGAAGTAACTGTGTCCATATCCTAAACTAGTTAGGTCCTTTGGTATTTATAGAATTTTGTTTTTTCTACCTGCCTCTTATGTCTGTCCAAATATGACATTCATTACCTTATGAATACCTTATCGGACTCACAGGTAATACTAATCTTGATCAGATCAGTTTAGTCATTTAATTTAATCATGCCCAATGTCTTGTCGAAGTTACACCATTCTTGTAAATATATCTTCAAAGGTTCCATATTTGAGTGGAACTTGGAATCTGTTGGGTTCTGTTACTTAGTGTTACAGATAAGAATTGATGTTTGTACCCTGCAAACCTGATTATTAAGAAAACACTTAATAAATTTGTCTTATTTTTGGAGGGGTGGTGAGACAGGGCCTCACTATGTATTCTAGGCTGGTCTTGAACTCACTATGTCTCCCAGGCTGGCCTGGAACTTGAAGCGATCCACCCGCTTCATCCTTCCAGGTATTAGGATGATACTGTGCAGTGCCACACCCAGAATTTTAGCTTAGCATCTTGTACATCTGTGATTTGCGTATGTCTTTCAGAGATACATCATTTGTTGTGTTCTTGGTTATGAATCTCAGCATCCTTATCCATAGATTCCTTTACTGCTTCCATTTATTTATATAGTTTATAACCATTAAATGCTGTAATATAGGATCTGTATACTTTTTCCATTATTAGTATGAATTAGTTCCATCAGCAATTCCTGGAATAAGAGATCATCTCTAGCTGGTATCTTTGATCTAGTCTTAACTCCTTCAAAAGTTCATCTTAGTACCAAATTTGACTTTGTATTACTACGTTCTGATCTGTACTGACTTTTGAAACCTTTAATACCAGTTGTTCCTTGTACATTTCTGTAGCTAGATATACGAGAACTTTTTTTGTGTTGGGCTTGATGGAGGCTGACTGTGAGTTTGAAATCAGCCTGGGTGACAAAGCAAATTCCAGGGTGGCTTGAGCTACATAATGAGAAATCAAAAACAAAAAACAAAAAAAAACAGCTCCTTGAACACCTGCTTTTTAGTTTTTTCTTTCCTGGAAAGCCCCCCACAGTTATGAATTAAAGTCTCAATTCATGTCTTGTTCTCCTTCTTAGACTACTAGCATCTATTAGAATTTCACACCTCTCCTTCTTCCTTTCCAGGGTGCTTTATGTACAGCATGTTCATACCATAGGTGTAATAAATACTTAGAGTTCAATCAGATATGCAACCAATGAAGGTTCAACTATATAGAATGTAGGCTTTATTAACTTATCTGTACAATAGCCTACTCTCTTTGTGCAAAGCTTGCTTTTTTTTTGTCCCTTTGAGATAGGGTTTCACTATGCAGTTCAGGCTGGCCTTGAACTCACTATGTAGCCCAAGCTGGTCTTGAACTCACTGCAATCCTCCTGCCTCAGCCTCCTGAGCACTGGGATTACAAGCGTGTGCCACCACGCCTGGCCTAGAGCTTGCTTTTGTAGGAGCTGAGTTTACTCAAAGCCTGGTCAATGACAAATAGATGAAAACAGGGAGCCCTGTAGATGCAAACTAATGCAGCTTTTCTCCCAAGACCTCATCGCTGTTCCCAAGAGTCAAGAAGATGAAGCCCACAATGTACAAGCAGTGATTGATTCATTGGCTTTGGATTACCTGCAGGTCAGCTTGTCTCACATAACAGGTTAGTATGTCTGTAAGCATTAGATAATTATGCACTTTAACATATTGTCAGGTAGAACATGAGACAGTGTTTAAGTAACCAAATGAGTGAACTTATGAAATAGACAAAGACTGAATCAGGACAATCAGCCACAGGTGGAGAACCCTATGTGAGACTTTCACCAGGAGAGTCAGACATTTAGTTTGTGATGGATCTGGATGGGAACTGTATTGAGTAATGTTTTTATTGTTTTATTATTTTATGTTTTGTTTTTGAGACAGGACCTTGCTATGTAGTTCAGGCTGGCCTTGAACTATGTGGCCCAGGCTGGCTTCAGTCTAAACGATCCTCCTGCCTCAGCCTCCCTAGTGCTGGGATTACAGACGTGCGCCACCACGCCTGGCTGTTTTTGTTATTTTAAAGTATGCCAGTTGTGCATGTGAATGTAGCAAAAAGTTAGAAATACCTAAATATCCATTAATAGAGACTTGTTAGGTAAACTTGTTAGGTAAACTCCATTAATAGAGACTTGTTAGGTAAACTCCAAAGAGCTACTCGGAGCTATAAAAAGGTTCAATTTTAGGAGCACAATCTCCAAAATGTAGTATGAGAAAAATTGTATCTATTCTAAAACTTAACAAAAATGCCAGCTGTTTTTGAAACTTTTCCACAAAGATAAAGTATACTATGCTGTATTTCAAAGCCAATATTTTTATAAATCGTTATATTTGTACATAGTAAAGGATGATAAGTATTATTCCAGCAAATTATTTCAAGTGAATGAAAGAAAGCTTTACTGTTGATTTATATTTTGCCAGTAAAGGGGATGAATGTTAATTAGAATAGACTGTTTACATCTCTTAATTTGATATGGACAAGAACACAGTTTTGCAAGCATACTATATTTGAGTTCCTGTCTAAGTGGTAAATCAGTTTGGAAATAATTTATTTTGAGGAAAAGTCCCAGAGTTTCTCTACATTTTATTTGTTTTAACAATTTGGAATGGTTTAATCACTTGAATAGGGCAATTTCTGGTATTTGTCCCCCCCCTACCCAATCGGGAATCGAATTCACGACCTTGCACTTGCCAGGCAGGCTCTGTGCTGCTGAGCTAAATCCCCAGCCCCTATTTGTGCTTTTTAGATATATTGTAGCAAAGTTTGTGAGTGTACATGTCTGCCCCTGACAAATCACACTATTGACAAATTGCAGAATTGCTTACCTCTTCCAGTAGACTGCAAGCAGTTTTCCCTTGTTGTGTTTGTGTTCAGAGCAGCCCCTCCCGTACTGTGACGCTCGGCTCCAGGTGGCAGCCTCAGTTGCCGGGCTGGCAGAGTGTGGTCCCCACCCTGGAAACGGAAGGTGTTGAGTTTGCCCTTGGGGTGTACTTACAAAGCCAGAGAAACACAGAGCGTGAAAACAAGATTTCTGCTTCATTATTTTAAGCAGGAAATAAACCTGTCATACTGCTGTTTCTACTTTAATAATGTAAAACATCAAATTTCTGGTTTATGTTCATTTTGTGTCACGGCTAGATACTCTCACATACCAAATTCCGGCAGCAGCCCGTTTTCTGGGTCCCCTCCTGTCTCTCTCTTTTTTTTTTTTTCCTCGGTACCGGGAATTGAACTCATGATCTTGCGCTTGCCAGGCAGGCGCTGTGACGCTGAGCTAAATCCCCAGCCCCCCATCCTGCCTCTCTCAAGGACTGTCTCTCCCTCAATAAAATTTCCTTCTTTTTTTTTTTTTTTTTAAAGACAGGGTCTTGCTATGTAGTTCAGGCCAGCCTGGACTGACTGTGTAGCCCAGCCTGGCCTCGAACTCATGGTGATCCTCCTGCCTCAGCCTCCCAAGTGGTGGGAATTAAGGCATGTACCACCGTGCTTGATTCAAAATCTCCTATTCTTTAAAAAAAAAATCGAATTCCTACTCTGCCTCCTCCATACTAGTTTGCACTCCTAAGAGTGCGAAGTGTGATATCCCGAAGGGTAACCAGCACATAGCAGGAGTTAGAGTCCCTCCGTAGCGGGTGTTGCCTGAAGTCCAGTTTCAGTAGCAAACGTGTCTGGTTTCCATGCACTTGCCAGCCCATTTTTATTCATTTCAGCATGTTGTAGGGGAGGGACTGGGGTAGGGACTATTTAAAGATTACCTTCTTGTTGTCACTTTATTTATTTTTAAAATTTAGTTACCTATTTTTGAGAGAGGGTCTTGCCTTGTAGTCCAGGCTGGCCTTGAACCTGGGCGGTCGTCCTGCCTCAGCCTTCTGAGTGCTGGGGTTAATAGGTGTGTGCCACCACGACTAGATTTAAAGGTTAACATCGGAGTTCTAAGTGGAAGTACTAGAAGATGGGGCTGCAGAGGCTGAGGATGGAGGGAGAAGAAAAGGGTTTTATAGGCAGAGATTTTAGAACAGCAGCCGTTGGTGAGATTTTTGTTTCGGTTTGTTACGCTGCAGTTTTGCAATGCTGAGACGGAAATCCCACAGATGAGGTTTTAATCAGAAAAATGGTTTTGATTCATACAGAGTAATTAAAAGTTAACAAACACAGGGAGAAGAACCAGGGATTACTAATGAATTTGTCCCCAAAAGCTTTTCTGTTTTGTTTTCTAATTACACTATTTTGCTGCTGTCTTTTGAACAGACCGTTCCAGAAGTAGATCTTACAGTCTGCAAGTGTTCTCTTCTGCTTTTTTGTTTGTTTGTTTGTTTTTTGAGCTAGGGTCTTACTGTGTAGTCCAGACTAGCCTGGAACTCGAAGTGATCTCCTGCCTCAGCCTCTCAATGCTGCTGGTATTATAGGTGTGTCACCTGCCTGGCTGTCTCCTACCCTTTTCTTTTCACCAGTCGCACAAAGCTTTGCGTTACTACTATACACTTCCGTATGACTCTTAGTACAGGATGTTTTCTTCAGTCCAGTTATTTTGCTTCTTAAAAAGTGAAATGTGCTACCTTGTTATTTTTCAGATATAATTAAGTACGAATAATATAATATTGCTTGTCCTTTGAAATCCCTGCGTTACCAAACATGTTACATCCATTTCAAGACATGAGGCTTTCAGGTGTGTAGGTTATATTTTTTAACACCTCTGCATTCTGTATTCAGGAGAAAATATAGTGAAAGGAGATAAAGAGTCTATCAAGAATCTCCTAGAAATATTGGATGGGCTGCTGGAATATCTCACAGAACACATCAGTGAAGCGTCTTACGAGAAGAGTAAGTGGAACTGTCGGGGGGTAGCTCGGTGGTAGAGCGCGTGTTTAGCTTGCCCTGGGCTCTGGGCTCCTACCCCCCAGCACCGCAAAAAAAGAAGGGAAAAAAGAAGTGCGCTCCGATCGACATTTTAAGAGTGTGCTCCTCCCGCCTGTCCTCCTTGCCAAGCAGAATCACCGGTGCAGTACCCGGGTAAATTTAACTACAGGCTTCCAGTGGTTTTGGCTCAGCAGCTTGAGTAGCCCCTGCAGTAGGGACTGTTGGCCATTTGTTGCCGTTTCAGGTGGTTGAAACTCTATCCTAGACGTGATCAAGTCCTATGTTAATGCCGCTTATAAATTACTTTAAAACTAATTTGTAGTAGAAGGCTCGATTTCTGCCTCAATCATTTATTGTCCTACTGTAGCATAAAATGTCTTATTCCAAAACGCATGTTCGAACTACCACTTTGTATTACAACTTTTTGGGTAATGTTGAGGTATCCACGGGAAGAACATCTTTGTCGTCAGCTCATCTTGGTATTCTGTGGTAACTTGAATATTTTTCATTTTTTTCTGAGTAACCCAGTTCCCCAAACTGTAATAGTTTGTGCTGAGAAATATTTGTTTTCTTAAGATCACTATTGCTTTATTTTTATCCAAAATGGTTGTGGTTATTTAAACTAAATCAGCAGTGCTTAAGAGCTACTTAATCATCTTTGATACATAAGTCCTGTATGTAGGAATTTATCCCAAGGAAATATTGCCACATAAAGGTGCTTAGCAGCATTAATTGCATTGTTATTTATCCTTGCCCAAAAAGAGCCTATTTTTAATAGATTATGTAAGTAATGTTGGTCATGGATTGAATAATACATAATTTGTTCTTTTTTTTTGGTTATTATGAGACAGGGTCTCATTGCGTATTTCAGGCTGGCCTACAACTCCCTAGCTCGCTGTGTAGCCCAGGCTGGCCTCGAACTCACAGCAGTCCTGCCCTAGCCTTCCCAGTGTTGGTGTGACAGGCGTGAGCTACCACGCCTGGCTCTATAATCTGTTCTTACGTTGCAAAGTTATAAAAAAAAAGTTTTCAGCAGTAACAGTAATTAACACGAATTCTAATACAAATTACAACAAAAATTTTGGGAAGGCTCAGCCTTCCAACTTTTCCTATTGGTTAGTGAAACTTATGCCGTAATTACAATATTTGAAATTAATCTTAGTCTTTAGTTAGGGATAATTCCTTACCTATTTTCAGTTGCTGCTAAAAAGATGTACAAACTGGAAGATTGACAAGTGTACCACACGGGAAATTTTTTTTTTAATTTTAATTTTTTTTAATTTTAAATTTTTACTCTAGCGCCAGCTGGGTACTTTGGGAGGATTCAAAGATGTGTGCGATGTTTAATGTTTTCAGAGAAGCCCGTATTCAAACCAGGGAGTCAGCTATATGCATGTACAACAGTCTCGGGAAAACTTCGTCAACGCCTCGGTGTGGTCGGACTCTTCACCTAGGACGTGACTGTCTTGGATCCTAAAGTTGGTGCAGTCATGTTTTCCTGCCGTCTTAGTGAACGGAACACCTAGCATAAAACGTGAAACACTTATGTACACCTGCACCGCCGACGGAAAGCCGCATGCCTCTTGTTTCTTTGTGGACCTGAATAACTCTTGACTTTCTAACTTCACCGTCAGGAGAGCCTAGTTTAGCGCAGTGGGTTGGGCTGCTTCACTGCCCTCGCCTTTTCAGCCTACTTGTGTACAAAAAATGTGGTACTGTATTAACTTCGGTGCTTTGGTGTTGTTTTTAATCTGTTCAAACAGGTGAAGCTGAACGGTATTTTAAAGACTCCCATGGAGGAGAGCCTCTGGAGCAGGTGGAAGGTGCTAAGGAGCCCAGATCAGCATGGAAAAGAGTTTCTTTTGAGAGGTAGTTGGCATGTCTCTGAATTTCATCAAAGCAAGTTACGCTTTAAAAATTTTTTAAATGTAACATAAAATTTTTAAAGAACGTAAAGTACAGAAGTGAACAATTCAAGGGTATGTAATGCAGAATTAACACCCTACTGAGACCACAGTGTGTGCCATACCCTTAATTTGTCCGTGCGTTCTGCTATGTATTCTACCAGTTTGACCCTTGACGCTTGATACACACAGACGTTTCTGCTGTTCTGATACCAGGCAGAATGAATCAGACAAGCAGCAGGAGGTGAGAGACAACAAAAGGGAGAGTCTTTTTTTTCTTTTCTTTTTTATTTTTTGTGGTGCGAGGGCTTGCGCCCAGGGTCTTGAGCATGCTAGGCAAGCTCTTGGGCGTTGAGCTGCATCCCCAGCCCCAGCCGCTCCGATTTTCTGCATCTACCAATGAGCAGTCCGAAGACCTGCAGGCCAGCTGTTTGGAGCAGCTCGCTGGGCCGTCGATGGAAGGGCCTTCTGTGGTCAGGCTGGTCCTTGAGTAAGTGAGAGCCCTCTTTCAGGTGCTCTTTCTCATCTGAGGCTTTGGGCCCCTCTTGGGATGAAGATGAAACAGAATCTTCTGGTGAAATAATTCGACTTGGAGACACAGCACACACCTTTTCTCTAAGAAGTAACAGTAAGTACTTAAACTTTAAATAGCAATTATCGAAAAAGTCAGTTATAACTCAACTTACAATTATAATTCATGGAGTTATAGTCTTAAAACTTGAGTAGGCTAGAGTCCTCTCTGAACATTAGCATCAAACTTGCAGAATGCCGACCGTTACCTACTGTCTGTGAAGGGATCTCAGGCAGATGGTCTTCACAGGCACGTGGCGGTGAGTCCAAGGCAAATGAGTAGGTGCAGGGCTGTCACGTAATTTGTGGGACGTGGTATCCTAGGAAGACAATTCTGGATACGCCTTTATAATTTAGGTACACTCTGAGAGTAGTGGTTTTTTAATAAGTGCTGGGGGATTGAACTCAGGGCCTTCCCACTGAGCTACATCCCCAGCCCTCTTTCTAAGTTTGAGACAGAGTCTTGCAAATTTAACCAGGCTTGGCTTGAACTTGCCTCAGTCTCCCAGAATACTAGGGTTATACCACCACGCTTGGCCGGAGTCCTCCTTAATTGTATTTCCCCAAACTAGTCGGCTCATTTTTTTCTTTTTTTCCGAGTCTTTTTGAGACAGGGTCTTGCTGTGCCGTTCAGGCTGGCCTTGAACTCGCAGTGATCCTCCTGCCTCAGCCTCCCAGGTGCTGGGATTACAGGCATGGGCCGTCATGCCTGGCTGGCTCACTTTTTCACCATTTCCACAAATCCGCACTCCCAGCAGGACACACTTCCCACCACCTGCCACTCGCACACAGCAGCTCTGAGCACCCCCCCCCCGCCCCCGCCTGTGTCACTCGCCGCCGTCCTGCCCACTGGGGCCGCGCTCTTCTCTGGCGTCGCGCACTGGGTGCTCTTCCTTCTTCCTGTTCTGGCAAACTCACCCTTCAGCTTGTGGCTTCCCGCATCTGCCTGAGGCTCTGGGGCTGCCTGTACGCTGCGTGGCCTTCTCTCTTTCTGTAGCATATTCACACAGGTAACTTGCAGTTTGTCATAGAGACGCGGGGTTTCTGGCGAAGTGCCCACGGTGCCCCTACCCGGTATTCAGGGCCTTCCCTCCGCTGGGCAGTGGTGATGAGTGGGAAACGGAACAGACAGAAATCCCTGCCTTCATGGAGCTTCCGCTCTACTGGTGAGGCTGCTGATAGATGTGAGAACTAAAATACAGAGTAAACTACCTCGCACAATGGCACAAAACTGCACCAAAATATTTATGTTTGAACAGAAGGGCAAGAACGTGAGTGTGGAGGTAACGAAGTACCTTGAATTGGGAGCGGGAAGGGCCTTGTCGCTGTCCAGACTGCCCCTGCATATGTGACTTGGGACAGGGTCTCTTCAGAGCCCCAGTGTGAGCGCTGCACTACGCCGAGTCTGAAGTTCCTGTCAGCGTCGATGCTCTGATTCCCAGGAATCCAGTTCCAAGTCTGAAGGTCAGACAGTAGGCCGAAGTATGTGCTTCCCACTGGAATAGGCAGCGTGATAGAAGGATCAGTCCAGTGTAGTTATGATAAGAATATTTGTTGGCCAGATGTGGTGGCATATACCTACCATCACAGCTACTTGGGAGGCTGAGGCAGGAGATCTCAGGTTTGAGGCCAGCCTGACCAATGTAGTGAGACCCTGTCTCAAAATAAAAAGGGCTGGAAGTAGACCTCACTGGTAGAGTGCCCGCTGAACAGGCTCATTGCCCTGGCACAGCAAAAAACAAAAACAAACAAACCTTTCTGAAGGTAGTTGAATGGGTTGATAGGATGGAGGGGACAGTGATTCCAGAGATGAGTTCTATGACATCACGTGCCATGAAAAAGGTAAACTACAAAAAAAGAAGTAGAAAAAAAGGCAAGTAAACTGAGCTGAGCATTTCTAATCCAAAAATCTGAAATACTGTAAAATCCAAAACTTTTTGACATCACAAATGGAAAATCACACACTGACCCGGTACTATAGGTCACAGTCAAAATGCAGGCACCCTAAGAATATTGTAGAAGATTACGTTCAGACTGCGTGTATAAGTGTACATGAAATACAAATAAGTTGGTTTCCATTCCTATGACATCTCACGTATATGCAAGTATTCCACAATCCAAAAGCACTTCTGGTCTCAGGCATTGTGGGTAAGAGGTACTCCACCTATACTTGTTCTCAGGTTACAAAAAGCGAGAGAAATTGTCTTTACTGCAATTAGGGCAAAGGAGAAAAGGCTGAGAGAGACCTGGCAATGGTGTTTGGGTTTGATGTGATAAAAGGGCTTCTGGAAATTTCCTTCTATATTTGAGATATCAGATAACATACACATTCATAGGCATCTAGTTTAGGCTTCAGTTTGTGGACTGTAACTCTGTGATTATGATACTACCTGTAACTCCTAACTGAAGTATCTCTTCCGTTTTTTTTTTTTTTTTTTTTTGAGACAGGGTCTTGCTATGTAGTTCAGGCTGGCCATGAACTTTCTATGTAGCCCAGGCTGGCCTTGAACTCACAGTGACCTCCTGCCTCAGCCTCTCAAGTGCTGGGATTACAAGTGTGTGCCACTACACGCAGCTCAAGTATCTATTCATACCCAAAGGTGGCCATATAATACTAAGCATTTCTGTAACTTTGGCACCTGTATTTCTTTTTTTTATTTTTATTTTTTTAATGTTCTTTTTATAAACATTTATTTATTTATTTTTTATGTTCGTAGTGCTAGGGATCGAGCTCAGGGCCTTGTGCATGCAAGGCAAGAGCTCTACCACTGAGCCACATCCCCAGCCCTGGCACCTGTTTTTCTAAAGCAGAGTAATGAAAGTTTTAATACAGTGTTGTTTTAAGGTTATATAAAGGATTCTGGGCTACAGAACGATATCTTACCGTGTGATAATTATTAAAAAATAGTGTTAAAACAGTTGGACTGACTGTTCTTTCAATGTTGTTATTCCTCTTGGTTTTCAGTGTAATACTTAGTAAACTGTTTGATAGTTTAAGAATTTAATCTTCAATATCTTCTTTTGTAGGTGCCCAGAGCCCTATTGATACACAGTCTAAAAAAACCTTAGCCTCACCAAGTTCTAAGCCGTGTGAGGACGTGTTGGGCACTCCCTCCTCTGCTTTCCTGTCCAAGAACGCAGCGTCCTGTGTTGAAGACAGTGAGTTGGGATAGGTTACTGCTGGGGTGGGGGCAGCAGTGGATGCTTGGTATCCCTCGTAGCTTTTTTAGTTTTGTTGTCCTGTACTTTGTCATTCGTTTTTCGTTTTATATGATTTTATTTGTAAAAGTCTGCCCTTAATTATGAGCTCTGATTTCTGTTTTAGATGGTTTTGGTCATATATTTTTGTGTCCACCATTTAACTGTCTTAAGTTTTCTTTCAAAGCCTTTGTTGTTTTTTCTTTTAAAGACAACGAGTCGCTGATACATTTTTATGTAAGTTGCTGGCCTTTAACTTAATAGTGAGTGACAAAGTACTATTACTCCTTTCTTTTTTAAGTTTTTTGTTGTTGTTTGGTGATGGGATTGGGCCCGAGGCCTGTGCATGCTTGGCGAGCATTCTGTATGCCCAACCCCTCCTATTTATTTATTTATGTAGTACTGGGAATTGAACCCAGCACTCTCACACTGAGCTATTTAGTTTATTTTTACTTTTTGAGACAAGGTCTTGCTAAGCCTAGGCTGGACTCAAACTTGTGATTCTTTTGCCTTAGCCTCTCAGAGTGCCATGCCAGGCTCACCCCTTTTAAAGTCTTGTCTTAGGGAAAGGTCTTACTAAACTGCCCAGACTGGCCTTGAACTCGTGATCTTCCCACCTCAGCCGTGAGCTGGGACTGCAGGCGTGTGCCACTGTGCAGGCCACGTTCCTTGTGGCTCTCCGTGACTTCCATATGGGATTGTCACAGAAAACCATTGTTAATGACTGGCTAGTCTTCTAACATGTCAGGGAACTATAATTTACATAGACCTTCTTCAAGCCATGAGGTCGCTTCCAAGTTTTCATTATGTGTAAACTTTTAAGGAACAATTTTATGATAAGAACATTAAGATTACATCCATCCTGCTAGGCATTATGGTGCACACCTGTAACCCCAGCACTTGGGAGGCTGAGACAGGAGGATCACTGCATTGTGAGTTGGAGCCCAGTCTGAACTCTACATATTAAGAGCCTGTCCCAGAAAAAATAAAAATAAAATTTACATCCATCCTGATTTAATTAGTTTTTGGGGTTTTTTTGGTTTTTGTTTTTTTTTTTTTTTGCTTTTCTTCCGGTACCAGGAATCAAACTCATGACCTTGCGCTTGCCAGGCAGGCGCTGTGCCACTGAGCTAAACCCCCAGTCCCCATCCTGATTTAATTAGATCCCTGCTTTTCTGGCTAAGACTGTATCCCTGGTTTAATTACTTCTTGTGTATTCTGATTGGTGCGTGAATATGTTTGTCTAGGTATATTACATGCAAAATAACTAATTTCTTAGAATTTCATAAGATTTTCTGTAATTTGCCTTACCAGTGAAAACCCCTTCTATGAGCGTGGTTCCAAGTGCTAGAAGGCTAGGGGAGCCCATCCGAGCCGCTATTCCTTTACACCCTCCCTACCACCCTTCAGAGCCTCGAGCACCCTGCCCCATGGGGAGAGAGTACCTCTACTCAAGTCGCTTCGCCCCTGCCGTGAATTCCGCTGCAGCACACGCAGCATTTCCTGTGGTAAGTGGAAAAGTTTGCTTGCAGGTGGGTAGAAGCCCATATATTCAGTATTTCTTTTTTGGTCCTGAAGATTGAACCCAAAGCTTTGTGTATGCTTATCATGTGCTATACTCTGGGGTTAGTAATATCCCTTAGTTACTGCAGGCTGAAAAAGAGGCAAGTGGAATGATTTCAGGGCTCCAGGAGGATCAGAGCCCTCTCGCATAATTCAAGATTCTCTCAGGGCTAAGACCAAGATCTTCTCTAGGTCGCCCATATTTATTGGTTATCAGAGGAAAGGAGGGGTATACTTCAAGAAGGGCAAAACCACTCGAGGACTTCTCTGAGTAAGGTGTGAAGTCAGTCCACTGAAGAATGAGATGCCTGAGGCTATAGTCTTTACCGAGTTGAGATCTGATCCAGGTGTCCTGGGCTGTGATCTTGTCTCGTCCTTTGAGGCTTTCTGGTTTCATCCACCACTGCAGGTTCTAGTAGGGATTAGTGACTCACAGAGGTTCACTCACCGTCTGCCATCTCCAGATAAGGACCCTAGACCTTGGACAAATTCACAGGTGAACATGGAAAGCCAATTGGTTAACATGAAATCCTGCTCAGAGCCACTTTGTAGTGGTGTCCAACACTGTACCACTGAGTTACACCCACAACCCTAGAAGCCCATATATTTAAAGAAACCTCTGCTGGGGTAATAGCTAAGCATACTTCACTCCTATGGGTTTTTGTTGTGGTTGTTGTTTTTTGTTTTGGTCTTTTTGAGACAGGGTCTCGCTATGCAGTTCAGGCTGGCCTTGAGCTCACTCTGCAGCCCAGGCTGGCCTCAAATTTGCAACGATCCTCCTGCCTCAGCCTCCTGAGTGCTGGGATGACAGGCATGCACCACCACGACCAGCTCACGATGAAATGAAATAGCACTGTACATAAAATTTACCATTGTGTGTTTACACCTGCATATTTTTACTCTGTTATTCTAGGAAGATAGGGACAAGATGAACATCAAGAGGTTAGGGGGACCAAGATATAGAAGGAGTGAGAAGGAAGGAAAGGGGATTGAAAAAAGGAGTCAGGTGTGTCACCAGCTCCCCAAGAGAAATGCAGTCATTGTGTACTGCAGACACGCGGATTAACGAGATAAAAACTAGAGAGTCAAAGAAGGAAACAAAGGGAAGTAACAATAAAGAGAAAATAGGAGCCAGCACATATGGAATGTTCACCCTATGCCAGGCACAGATTTAAGTACTTCGTGGGTATTGAATAATTTATTTCTCAGAATATTTCTGGAATAGGTACAGTATTTTCCATGGGAAAGCTGATGTAGAGAGATTAGTATCTTGCCTAAGATTGTTTTTGTAATTGAAGGGACAGGATTTAAACTCAGACATTCTGGCTTCAGAACCATGTTGTGTGTCTCTACTTAAATAATCTAAAAATACCTGAATGTTGCTGGGCATGATGGAGCACGCTTGTAATCCCAGCACTTGGGAGGCTGAGGCAGGAGGATCACTGCAAGTTTGAGGCCAACCTGGGCTACAAAGTGAGCTCAAGGCCAGCCTGAACTGCACAGTGAAACCCTGCCTCAAAAAAAAAGCAACCCCCCCAGCACCAAAACAAGAATGTGTAAAAAAGAAAATAGTCATCTACTGATATTCCATTTTCCTGCATGAACCATTGTTAATATCTTGAACGATTTTGACGTCTTTTGGGGAAAAAAAATTCCATTTTATAAAGTCATCCTATCCATATCTTTCTGGAAAGAATAGGCAGCTGTGTGCCAGGGTGAATTTATAAATAGTGATTTTCACCACTGAAGAATTTGTCAGGTGTGGAACACTCTGGGAGGCTGAGGCAGGAGGATGACAAGGTCAAGCCTAGTCAGGGCATCGAGGGCCTCACTCAACTGGCAGTGCAAATGATTATGAAAGCCCTGCATTTAATCCTTAGTATTGCAAAAAGTAAAGAGAACAGGGGAGGGGAGGAAAGGGAAGGAGGAGGGTTAAAAGTGTGGGAGGGGGTGGGGGGGCTGGTTACAGTAGGAGGGTTGCTAGAATGTCGAGGTCAATCTGGAATACACACAAACAAAGCACATTTAAACAGTGCAGAAAACACAGAAATGAAGTAAGCGTCGTTAGCATTAGATGACGGTCATTTTTTTTTTTTGGTACTGGGAATCGAACTCAGGACCTCACCCTTGTCAGGCAGGTGCTTGTGCCACCCTGAGCTATACCCCGGCCCGAGATGACCACCATGCTAAGCCTTGTGTGCATCTGTTCAGACAGGACACTAGATCGGGACAACGGAGAGGTGTGGCTACAGGGTCAGGGCCGCCCGTGTCGGGGGGCGCCGTTCTGAGATGTCGGGGGCAGTCTGCCCGCTCCCGTGAGTGGAGGAGGGTGAGAGTATTGGTCCTGAGATAACTGAGCCGGGCACCTGTACTTCATTTCAAACGTTACGAAAACGCAGTTACACCCGCTGTTTACGAGGAGGTTTTCAGGAGAAGGAAACGTCAAAGTGAAATTGAAGATGTCATTAAACAGTAAATATTTCTTGGCCACAAAAAAATATTTTCTTTTACACACAAGAAATATTTTCTAGGCCAGGATATAGTTAAATGGTACAGTGCCTGCCTGGCAGTGCAAGGTGCTGAGTTCAATTCTTGGTACCAAAAAAAATATTTTTTTTTCCTAAAAGATTCCCTCTTGAATCTCACTGAGCTACACTCAGGGGGAGAGTATATGCTTAGCATGCTCAGGGCCAATCTTCAGCACCAAAACAAGACTGCCTGTAAGGTGAAGGAATAAACTATTGCCAGGCATGGTGGTGCATGCCTATAATCTCAGGACTTGAAAGGCAGAGGCAGGAGGATCATCACAAGTTCAAGACCAACCCTGGCCTACGTAGTGAGCCCATGGCCAGCCTGAACTATGTAGCAAGACCCCGTCTCAAAAAAGAAAAGATAAAAGAAATAAATTAGCTGTCAGGCATGATGGCGCACTCCTGTACTCCTAGGACTTAGGAGGCTGAGGCAGAAGGAGCGCCATGAGTTCGAGGCCAGCCTGGGCTACAGAAGTATGGAGTTCAAGGCCGGCCTGTACTACATAGAGAGACCCTGTCTCTAAAAATTAAAAAAAAAATAAAACCACAATAGAACCCCACTACTGAAAATGTCAAGCATTTATATTGATATTTTGGGAGGTTTCATGTTTAAAGTGTTTCTACTTTGAACAATCCCTTTTAATTTCTTGATACAAGAGGTAACTTGAATACTTTCTACTTGTGATAAGCCCTGAAAGTCTGTGGCCATACCACCCTGAGCGTGCCTGACCTCGTCTGGTTGGGGAAGCCAAGCAAGGTCGGCTTGCTCTGTGCCTGGACAGGAGGTCATCCCTGGGAGTTCACGTCTGAGAGCCCCTCACTGGCCTTTCCATTAGAATGGCAGTCTGAGCCGTGGTTTTTCAGAGCGTACGTCGCTAAGACATGGCCCTCGTCATTTGCGCGTCCGTATATTTTGACAGATGTGTTGTCTCACAGCAATTGAAAGACTTGGCTCTTGGTCACAGGTCCTCCCTTCCCTACTCCAGAAGGAACTGAAGTCTTTTTTGTAGCCTCTTTGATGGACTTTTTTCTGTTGTTAATAGGAACCAGATGATACAATTATCTTAACTTCCACGGTGCCTAAAGAAAGTGACCAAAAAATATGTCCAGCTCAAGTCCTCAGCCCTAGGACAAGGAAGCTTCCAAAAGGAAAAAGGTAACAGTACTGCAGAGCTTGTGTGTTTGCAAAGGAATTTGGAAAGTAAAGGGTCGACTCTAAATTTAGCTGTGGAAGCCGGTAGGAAGTACTTACTGAAGTGTGTATTACAGTTATTACTGTGGCGTGTACCTGGCTGCTTACATGCCGCACGGTCACATTCATTGCAGAGATGAAAGCAGAGCTGCAGCCGCCTCATGGGATTCACCTCTCTCCCAGATGCCGAGAAAGAGCCTAACAGAGCAAGAGCTACACACAGTGTCAGCGAAACTGTCTCAACGGCTGTTGGAACTAGACTGGGCAAGTCTTCTTTTTTAATATATTGACCTTTTTTTTTTTTGGGTACCAGGATTCGAACTCACGACCTTGCGCTTGCCAGGCAGGCACTTGCGCACTGAGCTATATCCCCGTCCCCTTTTAATATATATTGAGATTGCTGGGATTAACCACCAATTTCAGGGCTCTCCCCCTGGAAAATAAAAGCTAAGTTTAGGTACTGAAAAATGAGTTATGTCTTAGTTACTGTGAAAATGTTCCAGAAGCCAAGCAGGGAGGACAGGAACCATGACCTTTTAGCCTTTTTGATGTAATGAAATACTGCACAGATTTCTCCACTGATCAGTTGTGATGAAAACTAAATCATTTAGTTAGGCGTGGTGATGCACGCCTGTAATCCCAGCACTCAGGAGGCTGAGGCAGGAGGGTTGTTGTGAGTTCGAGGCCAGCCTGGGCTACATAGCGAGACCCTATCTCAAAAAGACAAAAAAGAAAAAAAAAAAAAAGAAAAGAAAACTAAATCATTTGAGTGATTATTACGTACAATTATTTAAATATATCTATATAGTTTCTCTTTGTCGTTAAAGACAAATCTGGTATCAGAACGGATCACTGATTCTCACAAAATACAATGAAGTAACGCTGAATGGATCTGGTAACCCTTCTGAGTTACGGAGGGGAGCTCGTTAGTTCACAGTGCTGATTCCCGCCCTCCAAATGCTAAGCGTGCATAGGCACCGAAGATGAGTGACTAGCACAGGAACCCCTGAAAGGCCTGCTTTCTCCACCAGTTTACATTCTGCTGAAATGAATGAAAGATGTTGAAAAGAATTTTCTCAATAGATGTTAAAAAGTGCCCTGGGACATCAAATTAAAGAGAAGCTAGAGCATAAAGAAGATGCTGGAAAGAAAGAGGACAGCGGCGATGAGGAGACACTCTCCCAGCACAGTGACAGCATCATGGAGCGCGGGCCAAAGAAGCTAAGGCCAGGTACGTCCGAAGGGGTCTGGGCTGGGGGTGTCCGGAGGACCTGCTTACGTATTCCCATGTGCTCTAATGACTCTCACTTTAAACTTTCCAGAAATGCATAGAGGGAATCACAAATACCAAAGTTGGTATTGTTTTCTCTTAACATTGGATTTGTTTTGTTTTGTTTTGTTTTTGCCTTTTTGAGGCAGGGTCTCACTATGCAGTTCAGGCTGGCCTTGAGCTCACTTTGTAGCCCAGGCTGGTCTCGACCTTGCAGTGATCCTCCTGCCTCAGCGTCCCGAGTGCTGGGATTACAGGTGTGCGCCTCCATGCTTGGCTTAACACTTTTTATACTCTAATAACTTACAGTGTACTTATTTACCCAAACATACTACTGTATCATTTTATGACTTTTAAGTTTACAGAGATCCTGCATGTATTTTTCTGCAACTTGTTTTTTTCTGTTGACACTGTTTTGGAAATCAGTTTATGTTGTTTTGTTTTGTTTTGTTTTTATTTTAAAGAGTAAAAGAACAACATAATGGGGCGCTTAGCAAATTACAAAGTGGTAGGAAATTTTCAGTGGTTATCATTTTACATATTGTTATCTACAATAACAGCTGCTCCTCCGCTGACTCTGGACCTTTCTGGTTCTCAAGGGCAGGAGCAAGAGGGACCCGTTGTGTGGCGTGTGTTCCCAGGGGTTTCTCCATGTTGGAATGATTCACACCCGTCCGTGGGTGGGCCTCCACAGCCGGCGCATGGCGGGCCCGTTGTTTCTCTGTGCCATGGCAGTTCTCAATTGAGCGGCGGTGGGTGGTGTGAGGGCCGGTGGCGCCAGTGCCCGCTGCTACACGGCTTCCCGGGCACCGGGGGCCCTCCTTCCAGGTGCCTGGGAGGCAGGGAGCTGGCCCAAAGACCGGCGCTCCCCGCCGCGCGGCTTCCCGGGCACCTGCAAGGCCGGGGGCCGGCCCGAGGGCTGGCGCTAACCGCAGCGCGGCTTCCCAGATACCAGGGGCCCTCCTTCCGGGCGCCTGCGAAATCCATGTATGTTGATATTTAAAGGTCCTGTTTATTTAGTGTACCTCATTGGTTTATTTAACCACAAGGGAAGAATCTAGACTGCACAGACAATGTATAACCTCAGTAAATGTAGTGTAAGCATGCTGCCTTGTAAGTATTGATAAGCTACGTATATGTAGTTACGTCCCCCCCTTTAGGACCCAGAATTTCCTTTTCTTGCTTACGGCCCCGTCCAAGAGTACTCTCCGTAGGACTTCATGCACAGCAAGCATTCTCCCTGTTCCGTTCTGCCCCAGGTTGGATACACACGCTGAGTACTTACTTCAGGCCGTGTGCATGTATGCGCATTTCTCTCTGTATTTGTGTGACTGAAGTACACATTAGTTACAGGAGACAGTATACTCAGCACGCTCACTCATCGCGGCCTTTGGGTCAGAACCAGCTCTGGCTGCCAGGAACTAACGGACCGGCCCTTCTGTCTGTAGGACTCGCTGAGCCCAGAAAGCTGCACTTCAGATCCCACTCGCTGTCTCCGTCTCCAGTTAGCAAACACGAGCAGTTCCCGGTGGAGAGGAAAAGGCAGCGCAAGCAGAAAGAGAGAGGCGCCCGCCAGCTCCAGGCCACGGTACTCCCCGGCTCCCTCCGGGCAGCGGCCCGTTCCGTTGACCCTCAGCCCGACGCCGGTTAGCACGCAGCTGATAGAGACTTAAAGCGCGTTCACCGTGCTTGAGTTGGATGACAGTTCCGAGCTGCGGTCTAGGCCCCTCCCCAGGGCGTGCAGAGTTGTACCCATGAAATCCCCAAGAAAACCACCCGGTCGGGTAGAGTTCAGTGTCCCAGTGGATTAAGAAAGAGGAGACCACTGTGGGTTGGTATTTCAGAGACTTTCAGATGGACGGAATGTCACGGCCGCTGGCGAGCGGAGATGAGAAAGGGCTCGTCAGAGCAGAGGCGGCGGGGTTTCTGTGAGAGGACTGGGGCGCCCACCGAAGGGCGGTCTGCCCCGGGCCGGGACTTCGAAATGCCGCGTAGCTCGGAGCACGTAGTTGTTGGCTGTGGTAGGTTTTACAATGTACTAGCATCTGTAACGGTGCAAACAGAAGTTACTTGAGGTAGATGGTCTACAGTAGTTACACTCAGTATGTAACTCAGTACGTGGGCTTGTGATTTCTACTTGAGAGTGTCAGAATAATTACAAAACCTGTGAGAACAAAAACTGCGCAACGTAAAATTCCATTTTACGTCGCAGTTACACAGTCAAAGTTGTGTATTATACAGAGCTGAAAGGAATTTTTTTAAAAAGAATGAGGGTCGGGGATATAGCTCAGCTGCACAGCACCTGCCTGGCAAGCGTGTGTGTGTGTGTGTGTGTGTGTGTGTGTGAGAGAGAGAGAGAGAGAGAAGAAAGAAAAGAAAGAGCATGATACTTCGGAGGTGACAGGACCCTAGGTGCTGATTTTTCCTTCATGCTCGCTTGTCCATGTTTTAATAACTGTAACGTTTCTGGCCTTCTCCTCTCCAGGCATTAACTGAAGCATTCGAAAGGGAACTAAGAAGAAACAAAGTTCAAGAGAACGTTGGCCCTCACAGGATAAATGAGGAGGGGCAAACAGTGGGTAAAAGCTCCACTGTAACAGACACCCTTAGATCCATTCAGTGGAAGATACCAAGACGATCTTTGTAAAAGAAAGAAAGGACCACAGAGGGTTTGGTTCTGTCTTTTTGAGACAGGGTCTTGCTGTGCAGTTCAGGCTGGCCCTGAGCTCACTGTGTAGCGCAGGCTGGTCTCGACCTTGCAGTGATCCTCCTGCCTCAGCCTCCCGAGTGCTGGGATTACAGGTGTGTGCCACCACGCCCAGCTTAGAGTTTTAACTATTAGCTGTTTAGGAAAAGTCAGGATTTCATTTCCTCACGTAGAACTTTCTACTATTCATAGAGTATTCAAGTTGCTAAAATACCGGACAACACGATGGCAAAGAAAACTACTGTTTTTCCTTCTGCCTAGAGCTTCCATTGATTTTTTTAGGGTTTCTTCTGGCTAGCAATATACCAGAGAGTTAAAGAAAAAGAGTCTGTGCTAATGAAAGTTCAAAGGAAGTAAGAGAAGCCAGGCATAGTAGCGCATGTCTGTAATCCCAGCACTCAGGAGGCTGAGGCAGGAGGCTCTCTGGCATGTGCTGCGCCACTGAGCTACATCTCCAGCCCTGAGGCAGGAGGATTTCAGCAAGTCCAAGACCAATTTGGGCTGCATAGTGAGCTCAAAGCCAGCCTGGACTAAATAGTGAGTTCAGTGGAAGCCTGAACTATACCATGAGACCCTGTCTTGGAAAAAGTGTAAGGGATCTAGTGCCAAGACACTGGGTTCAAATCCCAGGACAAAAAAACAAAAAAAGAGAAGACAAAAGAATCCCAAGTGTTCTATACCTGGTTAAAAGAAACGCAAAGCGTAAGTTTCCACTGTTCCCAGAATAACGGCTCACCGAAAAACTACGTGAAAGCACAAGGAAATGCTTATTCTGAAATGTTAATGAGCAAAGCTGGGTATAAAGCCCTGAATAGTAACATCTAAGCTATTGTGTAGTTGCTCAAGAATGTTGTTGTTCTACATGAGAAAAGCTGTCAGGGAAACGAGCGCATCAGAGCCAAGGCGGTTGTACTTAGGGTGTGGGGCTGTGGTGACGGAAACTGGAAGAAGATCCAGAGCTTTTTCAAATTCCAAGGGATGCCAGGGGCCAAAAACGTCATTAACTTAGAACGGAGGAACGCCAGCCCTATTTCAGAAATTTGAAGTACAGTGGTTTTGCTAGGCATTAGTTACTATTTTTATCAACACGTGATATTTAAGATGAGGTATGAAGGAGTTGTTAGACCTCTCTCTCATTTCTATCATTTTATATGTGCTTCTAAGGAAAAAGTGCACAGAGAGGCTGTTCATAAAGGAACTCCAAAACACACTCAGGCCTGGAAGGTCTCCTTCAGAAAAGCCACAACTCAGAGTGCGAGCGGCCTTCGGAAGCCAAGTAAAGCAGCTCCAAGTAAGAGCCGGAGTTGTTCTCTATGGGAAACGGGCGCCTTTTGAAAGTGTATGTGCACTCCAGGACACAGCGCTGAGAGCTGCCGGCCACCAGTCAGTAGCGGAAAGACCCTCGTTTAAGTCACTGCCGTGTGGCCGGGGTCTGTAGAGCGCGAAATCTCTTCAGTGAGGAAGTCCCTTCGGGCAGCCTGAGCCTTGGCAACAGTGTCAGGGCTGCTGCCTGCTGCTCCAGCTGGAGCCTCGGTTTGCTCACTCTGCTTGCTTTTTTTTTTTTAATATTTCTAGGGAGTTGATGGAAGGCAAAAATGCTCCAGGGCAAGCAGATGGTCTGTTTGGCTTTTTTTTTGTACTGGGACTCGAACTCAGGACCTCACGCTTGCCAGGCAGGCGCTGTGCCGCTGAGCTACATCCCCGGCTCTGTCTGGCTTCTTACGCACTGAGAGCTGGTGCCAGTGTTAGGGTCTTGTTATAAGGAGGCAAGGTCATACGAAATGCTCCGCTTCCAAGTAGGTCCCACCAGGCAGCTAAGCACGTGCCTCCCGGGAGGGCCGCGGAGCTGCTCTGTCAGTCGGCACGAAGCATCCGTCCACAGGCCCTGTGGTGGCTGAGCGGGCCGCCGCCGTTCTCAGGCCCGACGGGATCACTGAGAACTGCTGAGCGGTCTTCATCCCTCCCGGTAGTTGGCCTGCCTCCGCCAAAGAAGGAGCGCAGATGCAATAAGTGCAGTGAGAACGCTGCTTTTCAGGGCCAGCACCACGTAACGTGGGCGAGGCTTGGTGTGTCAAAAGCGGCTCGTTTTTCCCTGCAGTGAAAGTGAATGAACACAGTCTCCTGCCCCTGATGCTGGAGCAGTTTCCATTTCTCTCTGTCTCTGGCCCAACACTAAGCAAAATGTGGAAGCAGCAAATCGCACAGGTTGAACAGCTCAGAAAAGATGCGTGCGGAGAAAATCGATCCAAGAAGAAGCTCCAGGATGAAGTAAGTTACTGTTAGTCTGCAGTGTAAGGTTACACACCGGAAGGGGGGCGCTTCATGCATGACTAACCCACCTGCCTTTGCCCCGTAAGATAGAAGAAGCTCTGAGAAGGCATGACCTCCTGACTGCCCTTGTCAAGAAAGAATACGAACACAGCAAGAGACTGGTATGGTCGGTTGGCGGGCTTTCGGAGGCGCGGGGGACTGACTCGGCCCTGTGCATGCTGGCAAGGCTCTGCCACGGAGCCACGCCCCGGCCCTGGGGCTGCTGTGCCCGGGCACGGGGGGAACTGTGACTGAACTGCAAGTTACGTTCCTTTCCTTTTCTGCGCCGCTGGGTGACACTCTGCCGGCACTCTGAGGGAGCATGCTGGGCTGGAAGTCTTCACAGGGACGCGCTACCCAGCATGCCTTCTGTGAAGTGGAACTGAGCTTTGAAAGGCTGAGCGCCTTGCCCTGGGTCTCACCACGATAAGCACAGGCCGCCACTGAGATTGGTTTGCAGTTCCGCGTCCACCTCCGCAGCCCCTCCAGGTGCCGGCTGTGTGTAGCTTCGTGTGTTTTGCCGTCTCCTGCCTTTGCCAGGTCCCAAGTGGGGAACTGAGGCAGTTTATTTACACTGTTGTTCAGGTTGGGCGCCATACTTCGCTCACCAGTATTCCCTATAAATATAGTGAAGGGAGAGGACAGGTTGGCGAATTTGGTAGAGGAAGAAATTTAAAAACCGCTCATCGATTAGCATGTAGAGATAAGCCATGAGAACTCTTTTTTTTTTTTCCCCTGGAGACCGGGTCTCACTGTGCAGTTCAGGCCAGCCTTGAACTATGTAGCCCACGCTGGTCTTGAACTCACAACGATCCTCCTGCCTCAGCCTCCTAAGTGCTGGCATTACAGGCGTGCGCCATATGTGGCTGCCATGAGAAATGCAGATCTTCAGTCTGCGAAAAGCTGCCTCACCTGCACGCAGAGCTTTGGTACCAGAGAAGCCACTAATATCTGAACCTCTGAGTCGGAGCTTTGTGCATGGCCTCCTTTCCTTCTGTTGGCCAGACATGGTCTGATTTCTGTAGTTCTGGCCTAGTTAAATACCCTGGACAACTCAAGCTTTGCTTGGAAATCTGAGTGCCATTTTCCCACTCCTGTTCAGCTGGTGCTGGGTGGAGCCCTGGGCCCTGGCGGAGCACAGAAAGGAGGCCCTGAGAGGAGTGCGCAGGGCGCAGCCACTCCTGCAGTGTCAGGAGCGCTCTTCACCGGCAGGCGATGAGGCCGAAAGCCCGAGGGGGTCCGCGCCGAGGCTCTCACGCTCTGCCCGGGCAGCAGCCCCCTGCTCCTGTGCGCCAGGCCGGCCGTTGAAGATACTGCGACAGAGCGGGGCAGCTGAGAATGCACTTGGGACTGTTTTCGTCTCCTCCTCACGCCCCTTTCCCCCTTTCCTAGCAAGACTTCAGGGACCGCATTCGTAGACAGAGGTTGACCCAATCAAAGATAAAAGAAAACCGTCAGCAAATTGTTCGTGCCCGAAAATATTACGATGATTACAGAGTTCAGCTGCGTGCAAAAATGCTGAGAATGAGGACCCGGGAAGAAATGGTAAGTCCGGCCTCCCCCCAGCCCAGCCGCAGCGAGCTCTGTCACCTGTCGGGCCACTCCGGCTCGTCTCGGTGTGCGTCGGAACGCAGACGCACATCCTCAGAGACTGGCCGGAGAGTCTGCTCGTTACACTTCATTTTATTACTGTACTGTGTTCACATTTCTGTCTCATAGCTCTCACCTGCATGTGAAGTCTCCCTTTTTTTTTGATCTTCTTGAGACAGGGTCTCGCTATGCAGTTCAGGCTGGCCTTGAGCTCACTTTGTAGCCCAGGCTGGTCTCGAACTCACAACTATCCTCCTGCCTCAGCCTGTGAGTGCTGGGATCACAGGCGTGCGCCACCACGCCCGGCTCTTCATGTGAAATCTTACGTCCTCTGGCCCCTTACACGCTTTTTCCTCGGCACAGCTGTTTCCAGCTTTCGGAGTGTGCTCTACAAACAGCAGTTTAAGGCAGGATTGCACGACAGGATTCCTCCCGAGATCAGGGTGAGGGTGAGGGCAGCTAGACTGAGCTGTTTCGTAAGACTGGCTTTTTGATCCTCGTCAAGCTGCAATAGTTCATCTTTTGGGATCCCAAACTAGGAATAAACTTTCTATAGTAAAACAGTCTCAGTTAATTGGACTATTCTGAAATACAGTATTTCTAGAGGAGGACACTACCGAGGCTCTTGAAAGGCCAAGTAACTTGCCCAGGGTAACAGCTAGGTAACGCACGGCTGGGAGAACCAGTCTTCGTCAAGAATTACCAATGCAAGGAGCGGCAGCCTCTGAACGCTGTGCAGCACCGCGCCCACCCGCACGCTCGCCGCCACAGCCTCGGGCCTGCTCTCGCTTGTCTCCGCTTGGGACCCTGCCTTAGACACGTCATTGCTTAAGAATTCTCTTCTGGGGGAGTAAAGGGTCTTCGCAACACATGCGAAGCTGCTGAACGCATTAGCTGTTAGGGAGCTACAATCGAGACCACGGCAGGATTCCACTCCCACCGAGATGGCTGGGGTAAAGGCTAGCGTTGCTAAGGGTGGGAGCACGTGCAGCCCGCACGCAGGGCTGGTGGGAGTGTAAAGCGACACGAGGGCTTCGGAAAACAGTCGGCAGTTCCTAAAAGGTTACCGAAAAGCCCGAGAATATTCATACGGTGTATGACCCAGTCATAGACGTCTGTACGCAGTGTTCACACCAGCATTTGTAACGCCAGGGAGGGAAGCAGCCCCCGACTCGGCTGCCGAACGTGCGTATTCCCGCAGTAAAGTGCTACCTGGCAGTGCGGTGTGGGCAACCCTGCAGGCGCGCCAAGTGAGAGAAGGATGCGGACGGGCAGCTCAGGAGCGGGAAGCATGCGCGTGTAGGAGCGCGAGGGAGGGCAGGACGGAGTGGGGGTGAGCGCCGAGTGCCTCTGGGGCGAGGAGGGCGTTCTGAGCCTGACGGCGACGGCGGCGCGGTCCTGAACACACTGAAAGCTGCTGAAGTTCCTGGGCGCGGGCGTGCGCAGGGCTGGCGCGAGGGTAGGTTATTTGCGCAGAGGTCTGTCCCAGGCCTCTCGAGACAAGGTTTCACCGAGTTCCTAAGTTGGCAGGCTGGCCTCAGCCTGCACCCTCCTGCCTGAGCCTCCCAAGCACGGGGCTGCGCCGCCGCGCCCTGCTGAGACGCTCCTCCTGAAAGGGGTAATTAGGTGGTGTGCGAGTTCCGAGTGGAACTCATCTGCACAGTTTGTGTGAAACACCGTCAGCACATAGCTCTGGTTGGACAAAATGATACTGTGTGGCGGTAGCTCAGCACGTGTTCATCTTTATGATTCTGTACCTGACAGATATTTAAGAAACTGTTCGAAGAGGGCTTACAGATTCAGAAGCAGAGATTACGGGATCTAAGAAGCTACGCCAGAGAAAAGCGAGATGAAGAGAAGAGGCAGCACCAGCAGGAACTGGACGCGATGGAGAACTACTACAAGGACCAGGTGGGCCGGCGCTCGGCGCTCCGCGGCCCCGTTGTCAAGCCAGTTCCTAGCCACAGAATACGATCTAGGTTGCTCTGCTTGAATTAGAGCAAGATTTTAAGCTAAGAACAGTCAACAAGAACGTTTTTACATTTGGACTACAAACGTTACACGTAAGGTCTGTTTTTTTCTTCCCTATAAACAGTTTTCATTGCTGGCAGAAGCCATATCACAGGAACGTCAGGAACTCCAAGCCAGAGAGAAAGCCCAGGCCCAGGTAATAACAGGGTAGAAGTAATTTATCTGCGTTTTTAGGAATTAGGAAACAACTGTATTATAACTTTCAAGGGGATGGAGCGAAAACTACTAAGACATGTATCCAAGGTTTAACTTCATCTGTTCTGGTCTCCGTAAGAGCTACTTCTCAATTTTCAGAATGACACTGTTACTTCCTATCCTTTTGTTCTGAAACCCTGTACTATTTTCATTTTTTTTGCTTTGTTTTGTTTTTCTCTGTGTTGCTGGTATTTTGCTGTAGTTCTTTAAATTTTCTTTAAAATTTAAAATAAATCAAAAAGTAAACTTTGTAAGTGATTGCAGGAGCTCGCTAAGGTAGAGGGGCCTACAAGCTGCGCGGCCGAGACGAACGCCGTGAACGGCGGGTGACGGGAGCTCTCTTGCAGACGCTGCACAGGGCGAAGAGAGAGCTGAGGTCGAAGGTGGAGCGGGAGATCGAGCAGCTGCAGCACATGATCACACAGAACGACGACGACGCTTTCTTCCGGGAGCTGGAGGCGGAGCGCTTCCGAGCCCGGCTGCAGCTGGCTTCGTTTCAGTACAGTCACAGCCCCTTCCCGTGAGGCCCGGCCTGCCGGCGGGCTCCTGCACCGAGCTGGAACCGCGTCGGTAAACAGGCTAAGCCCGAGTGACTGTAAATGCCTTACCTGTGTTTCATTCCAGTACTTAGGATTTTTAAAATAAAAACTTTCCTTGAAGCGTACCGTTCTGAAGCTGTAACTTCAAACCTGGAAAAGGGGAGACGAAAGGACAGAGATTTAGCCGTACTTGCGCTAAAGCAACTGGCAAGTCCTACTGGGGCAGCCCGCGCAGGCCCTGCGCCCAGGGCCACCTCGCTGACCGGACAGAAGCTGGATGCGCGCCGCTTCCTAGAGGGGCCCTCGGGGCCGGGCTCGGCGCAGCGGCGGGTGG